GCATGTCTCCATGGGGGCAATATCACAAAGAACTTCATCTTCATATGTTCCAATAGAGAATTTAATCATTGCTTGTCCATTTGTAGTGGGCAGACATAATTTCTCAACCGCCCTGCTGCTCACGACATTTCTGAAATTAAATTCATCTACTGCAACCAAGAATAGAGAGTCGTCAACCAAACATCTTGTATAGTAAATTTCCATTTCCATTCCAAACCCAGAGCCGAAGCTCTGATACCAAATGATATGAACCCAGAGGGATGGATTCGTTTTACGGATCTATCTAGGTTGGAAAGCTCATAATTAAGAAATTAAAAGAAAAAAATATGGATTGAGGTAAGAAATGGAAGAACAACGCCACAATCCCTAAAGATTGATAAGTTGAGGAAGATTCGCCACTTTGAATTAGGAAATTCAAGGATAAGAATCAAAAGTAGTTCCTAAGAACCTAGAGAGAGAAAATCCTCTCAATTGGAAAAATATCCAAATTCTGAATAATTCATTTTCTCCCCAAACTTTTACAAATGGTTCCTATTTATAAGCTTAGATGGGCAAGATGACATAAATTCCCACTAACACTTAATATTGACTCTTCACTAGCCCACTAACTAAGCAATAAATTCCCACTAGCATTTATTTCCCCTTAGCAACCTAAAAGGCAAGGCAACCTATCATATTTATTTAATAAAATAAAATAAAACGAAAATTACATTAAAAATAAGATAATGAACTTATTAATTATTCAGTCCCAAACTACTTAAATTCCTAGTCCATTATTGCTTCTTCTTGATTCACATCACTACTCAATAATTTTTATATTAAATGTGAATTTTGTAAATCCAACCGTTAGATTGAAAGTTCATATCACTTTATATGTTTATATCAAATTTTGTTAAAATTGAACAACAACTTGAAGGTAATTAGTGTTCATATTTTAGTATATTTTGAAATGTATATATTACGTCAATTTTGTTTTATTAGAATGAAATATCGAATCATCTTGGATTAATATAAAATTTTGTATGTATGATCTAAGAGTAAAGAACTTTCAATTTAACGGTTGAATTTACAAAATTCACATTTATTATAAAGTTATTGAGTGATGTAATACTTAGTAAAAGTTACACCGATGTTATTATAACCCTCCTATATGAGGAGAGTTCAAACGACACCGGTGTAACTTTTACTAAGTGTTACACCGCTTAATAACTTTATATTAAATGTGAATTTTGAAAATTCAACCGTTAGATTGAAAGTTCATATCTCTTAGATCATATATGTCAAATTTTGTTAAAATTGAACAACAACTTAAGGGTAATCAAAGTGTTCATATTTTAGTATATTTTGAAATAAATATATTACGTCAATTTTGTTTTATAAGAATGAAGTATCAAATTATCTTGGATTAATATAAAATTTTGTATATATGATCTAAGAGATATGAACTTTCAATCTAACGATTGGATTTTCAAAATTCATATTTAATATAAAGTTATTAAGTGGTGTAACACTTAGTAAAAGTTACACCGGTGTCGTTTGAACCCTCCTCCTCCTATATATATATATACACACACCCCCCTACTCTTCAGGGTCAAATTGAACTTTTGCTTAAAGAAAATTTCTAGAACACCTAAAAACTCTTCAAAAGTTCCTTAACTCCTAAAGTCTCTCAACATTACACCTCAAAACACATTAATTATGATAAAAATATAATTAATAATTAACAAAAAGGCCCAATGTTACATAATCCCTTTGTATCATAATAAAATAACAAAAAAGTTGAGACTTAATGTCCCTTTGAATATGAAAGAATATTTTTTTCCTTTAAATCCCTAGACAATGGTATATGATCCCAAAAATATTTCATGCACAATTTAAAATAGCTTGTAAAATGTTAAAATTATTATATATAGTTCTATATTAATTAATATAATTAAATATATTTTTAGTCCCTAAATATTTAGAAATTTTTGTCTCTATACATTTGAAAATTTTAGTTTTTAGTTCCTGAATAATCATTTGATAAATTTTAGTTTATGAACTTTTGTCGAATTTTTCTGTAAGTTGTTAAACTTTTTCTTTTCTTAACATTTTAGTATCTGACGTCAAAATTTTTGTTCATAAAAGAATTTAAAAAATAAACCAAATAAAATTTATTAAAATCTAAATAAAAATTAACAAAAAGCTAATTTGGACTAAAAGAATTATATTTAATTTTAATTAATATTATATGTAAATGTCTACCACTTTAAATGAGAGGAATATTAATTGTTTGGAGAAGCAACTACCTCGTAAAATGTGGTATCTAAATTTCTCTTCAATGCATTAAAATATATACGAGCTAGAGTTATTAGTTACCGTGGATGTAATAGAGAATTTCTCACTAGAGATGATTTAACTGGACACTCAATTAGTCAACACTGAACCGAGAATGAACTTGCTTTCCCTCTCAATCCTCAATTGATTAACAATTTATTATTAAAAAATAATTAAGAAAAGAGTCGTGTAAGCATGCATATTACATGCTAATGAATCTTTGCACGCCTGATCAAATGCATGCGCCGTATATGACGAATTATGTAAGGGATGGAATTATTAAATATATACTACTATGTGCCTATTATATATGGACTGTGGGTTGTACTTATATATGATAATATTATATTGATTTTGTATGAAATAATAACAATTTTCCCACCATCCAACAGAAAAATAATAAGATGACATAAGGCAAGGTCTCATTAATTAATTTAACACCCTCGTGTTGTCTTTTGTCATTTCCATTTTCAACTAGCTAACACGAGGAACTGAGGAATTAATCCACCCATTATTTTGCCAAGAAAATAGTTTCTTCCATATTCTTTTTTCCCCTTGGAGAGGGGGAAGGGGTGAGTGAAGAACCAACCTCAATATAGCCTATCCAATATTTGAAAAGAATAGTGTACTTACATATGTCTTATGTTTAACAATTAATTAAAGAACGAGTGACATCTTAAGAATTATTAATTAGTTTTACATATTCTTAGTTTAAAACTTGTAGGTACTTTTGTGTAATCACGTGGTATTGTTGAATTATTAAAGCAGATTAACTTTTATTATGATTACCTATAAGTCTAATTTTAAAAAAAAAAAATCAACGATTTGTAAACACATCAAAAGTAGAGATATATTAACTTTTTAGTTTTTAACATACTTTTCATTATTACTTTCTTCTTTAAAATGTCATCAAAAGTCATCTTTTACAGCAAACTATATTACTCTCTTAATTGTCAAAGGAAACGAAACTAAACAATTTTTTTTATAGCAAATCGTTTACTACGTTACGACCACAAAAAACCCAATTGATACTTGATTATTTATTAATTGAAAATAATTTTTAATTAATGCTCTTTACCACACTTGGTAGATGAATTCAAAACATCCCACTTCTTACCTATTTTAGTGGTTGGCGGTACGAGTCAGAAGTTAATGAATTGAAAGATTATAAATTAAAGGTTTACTACTTGAACAGGTATTGAATATTTTGAAAATTTTTAATTAAGCTTTTAAATTAAAAATTTATAATTAAATCTTTGATCTTTTATAAATGGGTCTTGAAAATTAGTTAAAAATTGTCATAAATTTATTATTTTTTACATCAGTTTTTAAATTGTCATAAACTAATTCCAGAAACTCAACTATAAAATTATATAAAATTAAAGATTTAATTATAAATGTATTTTTTATTTAGATACCTGTTTAAAAAATAATCTAAAAGAGTTAAGAGCTACCAATATATTAAATCTAAATTAAAAATCTGTACATCCCACTTGTTAAAAATGAGCCGGCTGCGTGATTTATCAACTAAACTTAATTAATGCTCTAAGGAGGCCCTCTTCAAGAAGGCGTTGTATTGTTGAAATAAGACACGAAAGAAAAAGGAAAAAGTAATGGACCTAGCAATGGACCTCTTACAAAGTATTGAAGTAATAAGAGTGGTTAATGCAGAAGAAAAATGATAGGAGACAGGTCGAAACAAGTGCTCCATTATTCACAAGGACCACAAAAGATTTATGAAGGTTATTTTGCTTTTGAGTCAAAACCCAACAATATTATGCATATTATTCGAATAAATGAATTAGACTCTCTTCGTAAATAGGATTTCAACTACTCGAATCACCTGTGATCAAGTCTCACCAACTTATATAAACCATTTAGGGGTCGTCAATAAACAAAACAAAAATCGGGACTTCGTCGTTTTTCTCTTTTTATTATTCTTTGTCCTTAATTTAAGTAGGCCAAAAAAGTTCTGGTAATTATAAACATACAGATTGACTAAAAGGGGAAAATTTGATTAAAAAAACAGCTTTAGAAAAAGAAACTACAAATTTTGAAAGAAATTTAAATGGAGGCTTTATCTAGTGTGGGACTTAGTGCAACTAGGTCATTCAAAATCATGATAATACTTTTGTCAAGAAAATATTGTTTTATATATTTGGACCGTGGATGCATTATTAGCCCCAGATATAGTACTATTAGGAAATGGCCCCCTACACTCTCATCAAAGTCTCTTCAATGGCAATGGGTTGCTTCGAGTCGTTGAAATGTGTACTGCAATTTATGTAGGGTCATAATATCTCTGTACTCGGGTTATAATTTCTTCTGGTTAATTCACTTTACTTCCTACTGCAGCAACCTGCAGCGATCTCAGTTTTATGCTCAACTATTAAAAACTCTTGTATTTTCTGTTGGCACGACGTTGTCAACGCTCTCCACCAAATCCAAATGCATGAGAATTTCAACGCGTAATTATATATTTCATAAAGAAAAAAAAAAGAAGTAACTGAACTGTTAGGTTAACAATCACAAATGAAAAATTCTCTTTCCATATGTACCCAAAAGGAAGAAAAAAAAATCAAATGAGACAAATGAGAAAGCAACCACTTTTCAACGTACGGCCAAGGCAATTTAGAACCAATCCCGAAACGTTTTGATAAGATCGATCAACAAATTCATTGAAATAATGAAAATATATTTATTCTGATATTAAAAATTAAGAAAAATTAACAAAGAACAACTCATGTGATGTGAGTTCTGGACAGGATTCTCCAGCCAGCCGGCTCTCCTCTATCTCTAAACACCAACCTAAATACATATTATATATCCGATGATATGACATAATAATATCAAAACTCTACCATATTATAAAATTTCTCTATATTAATTTTTAACAACACGGAGTCCATTCCCTCAATTTATACACGCGCTTCAATTTTCACTTTTTTTATTTACAAATTACGGCATGCGTATTGCGTATTCCGTATCCCGTATCCCGTCCCTGCGTAAGTGACCGAAAAGCATGGAGCATCACACGAATCACATGATGGAGCAACCGTGGGGGTTCTCATCGCTGAACATCTGCGGAGGAGGGGCGTGAGGGTTCATGTAGTACGGTAAGGGTGGCTGCATAGGATAACCCTGGTTCACGTACCCTGGCTCCACGTAATGATTATTACCATTAGCGTACCCTGGGTGAACCTCCATAGGCATAGCGTAACTCGTTTGACCGGGAAACTGTCCATCGTACCAGAACGAAGGAGGCGCCATCGGGTACATATGCTCCATTTTGTTAACCTCCACCTTCGCCGCCTCCGCCGCCGCACCACCACCGTCCTCTTTCTTTTCGCCACCGCCTTCCGCCTTCTCTTTCTTCTCTCCGCCTTCCGCCTTCTCTTTCTTCTCGCCGCCACCGCCTTCCTTCTCTTTCTTATCGTCGTCCTTCTTCGCCGGAACCACCTCGACGCTTCGCTTCAGCTTCTCGTTCAGGTACGGCACCATCTCCTTCACGTCCATCGTTCCCTTCACCGTCACCAGGTCCTTGCTTCCGTCGAGGCTCACCGTTTCAACACCTGCACAACCACACCGCCACTTAACCGTCACTCCAATAATTAATTAACCAATTGCTTAAAATTAAAATAATCAAACGTTTAAATACAATCGAATTAGGTCAACTCTCTCACCTTTGAACCTCAGAATGATTCGTCGAATCTTCGCAATGCAACCGTCACAGTGCAGTTTGATCTTCAAAACGACCGTGCTCTGTAGAGAAGCGAGTATTAATTAATTGAAAGTCGGTGAGTGAAATTAAGCTTAATAAATTCAATTAATTAGGGAAAATGAAGGCTAATTAGTAGTAATTAATCACCTCTTTAGGCTTATTTTCTTCTGGTTTCTTCTCTTCCGGCTTCTTCTCCGGCGGTTTCTCGGCGTCTTTCTTCGGCGGAGGAGAGACGAGCTCAACCTTCTTCTTAGTTCTCTCGGCGAGCTTCTCTCGCAGCTTCTCGGCGTCGATTTTACCGGTAACCGTGACTTTGTTAGCCGATAGATCTGCTTTAACGTTTTCCACACCTGCATGTTTTCGCCATTTTCTCAATTTGTATGATTGTTGCGACAAATTGAGGAATATGTAGAGTGAATGATTTAATTACCTGGGAAGTGGCGAGCGGTGCGTTTGATCTTCTTGACGCATCCCTCGCAATGCAAGTCGAGCTTGTAAACGACGGGGGCCGGAGCGTCGTCTTTCTTGGCGGCTCCCTCCTCGGGCTTCTTCTCGGTTTCTTTCTTTGGTTGGTCCTTTTGCTGCCATAAACGACACGAGTTTAATTAGTGGTTGAAAGGAATTAATTCCAGGAATCTACAGATACTATAGAAAAAGGAATGAAACTAAAAGTAAAACTAACCTCTCCCATTTTGCGTTTGTTTGGGTATTAGGATAGGATATTGTGTTGGGGTAGCTAAGATAAGATTTTGCTGCTTTATTTGAAGAGTGGAAAGAGAGGCAAGGGAGAGGGTTATATATAAAGAACGGAGATAGAGTACAAGTCACTAACGGTAGGTGAGGTGAGGTAATGCCTTTGTTGGCTCTCACTACCAATACCATCATGCATGTGTTATGTATGTATAACATGCTGCATAATCATAATCAACATGTGCTATGCGTCCATCATGCTATGGAAGGGTGGAGAAACTATTTTTTTACTTTTTTTACTTTTTTTTTTTTT